GTAAGATAGGTTCAAGGATGGATGAGTAATCTAGGGTAGGCCAACCATGATGGGGCCCGTTTGGCTCTTTGCTGGCCTGATGTCTATATGTCTGCATTATCTATATGTCTGTATGTCTATAATACATAAATAGTTTTTGTGTCACACACCACGAACATTTAATGGCAGCATTGCCCAGCTGGGGTGCCCTCCTAACCCGTGAGCTGTTCCTACACCCCCTACCAGGTGTCATCGCAATTTGAACTCCTACGATAAGCATAAGCTGTAGAAGCAATATTGCATATACGTAAAAGACTACACAAAGCTTTTGCAGTAGAAGCCATGGCAATTTTACACTTTGAAACATAAGCTGTGTGATGTGGCACCAATGTCGCGCGTAAATTTTTGCTTTAGAGGTAGTGCCGTGTATAAAACAAACGGTTGTACAAGTGTTTGCAGCACAGGTAATGACAGATATAATTTTTGAAACATTAGTTTTATCGATTACACTGATATCGTGTATAAGTCTTTGGAGTAAAACGTAATGCCGTTTATATGTAGCAGCTGCATACTTTTACGCAGTAGAAGTAATGATGAGTAAACATTTTTGAGGTAAAAGCATTGTCGTGTGGCACTTTCTGTCGTGCTAAGTTTTTGCAGTACAAGTAATTCGTTGTGGTGTGTGAGAAACGGCTGTAAAGGTGTTAGAAATAAGGTGTGTAGTGTGCAGTAGAAGTAATGACTAGCATGCATTCTTTGTAATATGAGTGCTGCCGCGTAGCACCAATATCGTGTATAAGCATTGGCAGTAGAAATGATGTCGTAGTACTCCTGTTCGGTAGAGCTTAAACTGTACCACTCATGTCGTTGGACCGATGTGAAGCGGCGTAACGAGGATGGTGTGCAAATCACTAACGGTGGGATGTTTGGTAGCACCACCAAGCTGTGGCGTGGTGTTTCGGAACACCACGGTGATCTGCTCCAGCGGTGTTTCGTGACGCTAGCGTGTGGTGTTTGAAATATCTTGGCTACGTGCCCAACGAAAACAAGCTTGTTTTCACGCTGGAATGGATCTTTACGTTATATAACCGATAACAAAGGCCATGCCAGTAAGGTACCACCACTTCATGATACATGGCCGCACACTCGCGTCTTGAATGAAGGCTGCTCAGCATGGCCAGGCAGAAGCCACCCAGTATGGTGACCTGTGGCGAGCCGGCCGGCAAACGGTCCTCTGGTCCCGCCGCAGTCACGGCGGGCACGTTACATCAGGACGGCATTATAATTTTGTCGATGTGGAGACGCTCACCAGTGTCAGTACCGAGTAGCACAGCTCTCCACAATGGCAACAAAAGCGTTTGTGGCAAGACTCAGCTAACGTGAATGCGGCATGCTGGCATGGGTTACCGCGTACTATTTGCGTTTGTTTTCACAATAAGCACTGCTGCATGCAAACCAATACTGGCATTCCATCCATTTAAGAAGGATATCACCTTTAACCATCTTTGCGCAATTAGCACGCAGTTTGATAGTTTATAAGCAACATATTAAAGGACACATACAGAAATACTGCAAAAATCGATTTCCGCCACTTCTCAATCCACATCCTCATCCGCACCCACAAACATCATAGGACAGACAGACTGACTACCACAACCCATCCATAGACTATGTCGTCTAGAACCCCAAGTCCTCCGATGTCGTCAGGGTTTTTTGTCCCGCAGCGCTATGCGGGCCGTGGCTGTATCTGGAGGTCTCGGCGTACCTCACATATGCTTTCATTTCAGGCAAAAGTAGAGTTTTCGCAAGAAGGGTGGCGTGGTCGCTTTTTGCTGGCACACTGGGCGTTGCAATCATGCCGATCTCTTCAGTTTGAGGCCTTTCCCACAGTTTGGTGCAGTGGCATTGATGCCTGAGGTTATTTGAACGCCCCAAACGGCTTAGGAATTTGCCTTCATGCTGTCAATTCTGGATGTATGAACCATGCCACTAACCGGAGACCTATTTGTGGAGAGGTAGCTGCGCCGTTTTATGTGATAAGATTGCCACAAATAGGAGCGCAACAGGGTAATGTCAATATTTTAAACATTGTTTGCCTTTGAGGCTATGAAAAGCTTGGGCGTCAACTAGCACTAACTTCACTAGCTTAGCTGCACTAGCTTCACATCACGACTTTAACACTCGCTTGCGGCGGGACAGGTTCCTACGAAGCACACTGTTCCAGGAATCCTCGCGGGATAATCGTGAAAGCAGGAAACCGGCTCTGGGATCATGCGGATGTGAGTCACTCGCTTATGCCATGCGTGGCGCTTGAGACCTGCCGAAACGGAGGCGTCGTGCTCAGATCAACAGCAGCAGCTGTCCGCTGACCGCTACCCTGCAGCAGCTGCTGCAGCTGGTCACGTCAGGTTCAGGTCAGCGGGAGCAGCTGTCCGCTGACCGCTCCCCTGCAGCAGCTTGCCGCGGCTGGTCACGACATCAGGTTCAGATCAGCGGGAACAGCTGTCCGCTGACTGCTCCCCTGCAGCAGCTGCTGTAGCTGGTCACATGTTCATATCAGCTGCAGCAGCTGTCCGCTGATCGCTCCCCTGCAGCAGCTGCTGCAGCTGGTCACGACGCGGTGAGCTCTGCAGCTGTTTGTTGTTCTTGAGCTGGTGTAGCGGCTGGGACGTGGCCCTTCTCCTGACGACGACCTGGTCTGCATTCAGCACCGATACCGCCAGCCGATCTCACTGCCGCGACGGGGCCGGGACGTCGGGGCCGGTGCGCCGGGCCGACTCTGGGTCAGTGAGGGTCGTCACACAGGCTGAGTACCGGCCCGGCCACTCGGGGCTGTGGCGCTGCGGTTGCCGGCGCAGTGGGGCCGTCAGTCGGGGGATCGGAGGGAGTGCCGGTCAACGACGACGCCGAGCCAGTGAAGTGCCACTAGCCACGCGGAGGCAGTGAAATGCGAATGACATGGAGCCAGTGAAATGCGAGTGACATGGAGCTAGTGACGTGCGAATGACCTGGAGCCAGTAAGAAATGTTTGTGTGATGGGTTAGGAGTGTTGGCCATTAAAAAGCGCCGACGTCCCAAATAACTTATTTTATTGCTTCATGCTCAGTATTAGCCCCAGCTACGGGCAGCAAGGGCGTGCATAACACAGAACCTTTGCTCCAATTGGCCAGCATGTGGAAGGTATGCGTCCTGCTAGGCTGCACAACGGACACAGGATAGCAAGACCATCGCGAGGCCTTGGGATGTGGGCACGCTTTGCATGGTTGGCATTCTGCGTGCCACTCCACTTCAACTGGCTTCCGCGCGCTTCCCTGCAAAATCGTGCTGCACACATCTGAGCTCGTTTCAATGACGCAATGTCTGGGTGGACAGCTTTGAAACGTTTCGTGGTGCGCAGCAAACTTCTTTGGGTTTCCACGGTCCTTGGATTCGTAGCTGGACATTGGGATAAGCTAGCCGGTTCTACAGCTCGCCAAGTACGCTCGACTGGCCGCTGCAGCTTTTTCTTGGCCCGTTCCGGCTACCTTGGATATCAATCGCTTGATTATTTGGAACTGTGTTAAGAACAGGCCAAGTGTCTTGCGGACAATCAGAGTGGGCGCAAACAAGTTCGAATGGCCGGAGAAACCTTCACTGGCCTTCACTTACCCACTTGCGATATGTAGGGTACGTCATACAGGGATGGCGTCACCGATAGAGAGGGGGTACGGGGAGGGCGAGTCCGCTATCGTCGAAGAGGAGGGGGCGGACTGCGCCACTCATGCATGCGAACGATTTCAAACTATCACGCATCACATTTTAAGGCACTTAACACACTCATTTACAGAAATTTTGCCCAAATTCGAAGGGTTTTGGAATGAATCTGACATTTGGCCCCATGGAAAGGATTTTGATTACCTGTCCGAGGTAATGGCGATAAGATATCGTAGGCAATGCCTTGTTTCATTTAGCGGGGCGTCGCAGGAAAATCTTTAAGCGTGTCACAATTGTTCTTGCCACTTGGACACTTGTTTTTAATCTGTACTACACGTCAAACCATAAAACTTAAACTGTACCTTTTGAAGTCCATCTCACTCATGTAACCTGAAGAGACCCCTTCCATTCATTTCTTCCCTCTTTTTTGGCTCGTAACATTCGTATTTGAGGTCCCATGGCATATACTGCCTCTGGCAGGCGCCCAGGGCAGCACCACGAGAGTGACAAAGCAAAAACCCCTCTTGCCATTTACCAAGGAGGCAGGGTGCTGCCCGCACCCCCCCCCCCCCCACCCCCCCCCCCCACCTCACTCCCAAGCTCCCACAACACCCCTGCCTTATGGTGGTGCAGCGGGCAGCCCCTGCTCCCTCTCCAGTTTTCTGCATCTCCTGCATTACCGGGTTGTAGCGGTCAGCCCCTGCTCCCCTCCCAGCCTCCGTGACACCCTGCCTTACCGGGGTGCAGCGGCCAGCCCCTGCTCCCCTCTCCAGTCTCTGCATCCCCTGCCTTACGGCGGTGCAGCGGTCAGCCCCTGCTCCCCTCCTAGCCTCCGTGACTCCCTGCCTTACCGGGGTACAGCGGTCAGCCCCTGCTCCCCTCCCCAGCCCTGGTGACTCCCTGCCTTACCGGGGTGCAGCGGTCAGCCCCTGCTCCCCTCCCCAGCCTCCGTGACTCCCTGCCTTACCGGGGTGCAGCGGTCAGCCCCTGCTCCCCTCCCCAGCCTCCGTGACTCCCTGCCTTACCGGGGTGCAGCGGAGGACGCGTGGGGAATCGGCATAGCGATGCTCATTTACAGGAACGCCAGTTATGGAGCGCATTATCCATCATTCCTTTGTATTCAAGTGTCTTTTTTATTGTTTTGCGACTTCGTCTCCTGTCAAAAGTCAGAAAGTCAGTCAGAGAGCAGCGATGTTGTGTTGAAAGGTGGTGATGTCTATGCATTTATCGTGTTGAGCTTTCTTGTGGCCTACTCATTGTGAAGAGAAGCGTTGAAGCCCTCAGGTGAGCGCTCACATGATGACAGTGCGTCGGTATGTTTCAGTTTAAGGCCCGCGTGCTCGACGTCTGTGACAGCACTCCCTACAACCGCGACATAGACCTGTTGTCGTGGCTGGTCGGTAAGTCGCCGGCCACACCGCGACATAAACGTGCTGCCATAGCTGGTCGGTAAGTGGCCGGCCTCACCGCGACGTAAACCTGCTGCCATAGCTGGGCGGTAAGTAGTCGGCCCCTACCGCGACACAGACCTGCTGTCATGGCTGGTCGGTGAGTGGTTCGGCCACACCGCGACACAGGCCCGCTGTCATGGCTGGTCGGTGAGTAGCCGGCCACACCGCGACACAAGCCTGCTGTCATGGCTGGTCGGTGAGTAGTCGGCCACACCGCGACACAGGCCCGCTGTCATGGCTGGTCGGTGAGTAACCGGCCACACCGCGACACAGGCCCGCTGTCATGGCTGGTCGGTAAGTAGCCGGCCCACACCGCGACACAGGCCTGCTGTCATGGCTGGTCGGTGAGTAACCGGCCACACCGCGACACAGGCCTGCCTGTCATGGCTGGTCGGTGAGTAGTCGGCCTTACCGTCGGCAGCTGACGGCTCACGCCCCGCTGCCGTACTCCAACAGTCGCACAGTGCCGTCGCTGGAGCGTGCTGAGCCGTTGCCGCCAGGTGACCACGTTTCCCACACTTCTTCGCGTCTTAGAAGGGGTTCTCTCCAATGCTCTGAATTGTTGGTCATACCGTCCACCGCCGTCTTTCAAGAAAATCTGTCCATCTGGTACTGCCATCGCTTTTGTCTGTCTTTATTTATCACAAAAACGCAACTGTCATAGGCAGCGTAATCGTTGCCTAATAGGCATGTTGCCTGTGCTTATGTATGCGTATAGTATGCCACATAGGTAACTCGAAGTAAGTGTTTAATTTTGTCTCCAACGCACGCTAACGTTATGCATATGTTAAATCCTCCTAAATATCGTCTTTTCGCGTCAGCATGCTTGCGTATCTCGGTCACGCACATGTGTATGCATGTGATATTTGCTCACCATTTGAAGTCATATGGCGCTGGGAGCACATCAAATGGGCGGGAGGCTGCTGCAAATAGAATAACCGGGCTGAAGTGCCCGGGTTTGGCTGATCAGAGGTGCATGGATGTGAAGGGGGGTGTATTCAGAGCCTTGCTTATTCCAGCATGGGCAGCTTAAGCGGGCAGCGGCCATGGGAAAACTCACAGATGGCCTTTGTCTGCTTTGATCTTTGCAATGAAAGGGAGTGTGACACCTTTGGAAGCTTCGCAGAAATCGTCCGCGGGAACGCGAGGAACAACTTGTCAACGTTGATACATAGTTCTGGAAGTCACCTTGGCCAGTCAAAGTCTAAAGTAAGCAAATGATTCTGAAATCGGAGATGTGAAAGGTCGGGTCAAACCAGCAGCACCATCTCACTTCAAGTTTGCTTACCAGCATCATCGGGCTGGGCCTTTAGTCAAGGACAAAACATACATATCTGAGGGTTTCTCATCGATTCGTAGTGATGTGTTATCAGTAGGCCTCGGCGATGCTGACAAGATCAAGATTACGTCCTATCTTATTTCTCCCTCATGCGCGCGGAAGCCAACAGTGTTATGTGGATTAGACTGGATCCTTGTAGAGTCACTAAAAGCACTTTTTTCAAAATAAGTGATCATAGTTTCTCATGCGGATTATTGCGGCAGTGATATGCTGACCGTCTGATGAGAAGTATTTTGGCAGCTGGTGGGTAACACTGAGGCAATTATTGTTGAAAAATGAATTTTGCTAATGGTGGCAATTGCCCGGATGGACAATCATGGGTAATCGTGCTTCCAAGTGGGATGACTGGGTTCATGAAAGGTTATGTAATAAAAACACTCGCGTTACGAATCTGGCGCGCCTGATCCAGGTACGTTGTGCACATTCTGTTTCGAAGTAGCAAGGATCACTCTCATTTCACCGGCTTGTGCTTGCGTTTCGCCTCTCATATTAGTTGTTGTTTTCTTTCAGCTCGGAGCTTCGACCTAGATTGTGCAGTGGACATGATGAGAAAGGTAGGTGGGTTCCCCTCCCCTGGGATGGAAGCCACAAGGGCCTTTGAGGGGAAAAGCGCATTGCTTCGCTAATGTAAGGTGTCTTATTATGGTATTCTGTGGTAGCTACAGCCGTGAGCGAGCCAGATTGCTACCAACTATGTAATAATTGCTTCATCCCAGACCTTTATGTGTATTCTACTTTTCACCCCGCGTATAAGTCTGGTCAGGGTCAGACACGCCCTGGAGTGCATTTGCAGTGACCCGAACGGCACAGAATATATACTGTCGACGCTCATAACGTCGCTCATGACATCATACTCCATATATTTTGCACCGTTTGGTGTTCGCGGCGAACCGGACGACAAAGATTCTACGTGACATCACGTAGAATCTTTGTCGGGTCGCGCAGAATCTTTTCTTGCGACTCGATCGGAGTGAGATGGAAATGGCGTAACGATTCGGTTACAAAAAGGTCAATTTGCGTGCCCAGGACCGGTAGCGAGCGATGGAAATAAGTTCATACAGTAGAAAGAACCTTATTTGCCGTTTCCATCTTAGGAACACTCATAGCGCCTGCGAACAAAAACCCCATGTCTCTGCATGCGCAGTTATTGTCGCTACAGTCACGAAAGTGTAAACAGGAAACGAGTTGCGCTGTGAAAACGCCCGGGAAAGATTCTACGTGACGTCACCACAGAATGGAACACGCTTTGTGCGCCGCGAATACACCATTGAGCTGAGCCGTGGCTTGATCAACCGCTCCTCAGTGCGGACTGCTCTGCCCGGGACGCGGCCGCGCAAAGGCCTGGCCCGCATGCTATCTCGTTCTTCCGTAGTGGGGCTCAAGTAGATTTAGGGCCTCGGCATGACAGACTGTCACCACTCCTCCCTCCCTCCCTGGCACGCCCTCCTCCCCCTCTCCCGGCAATGACACGGCGGCTGTCAGCGGCGCCCATGTCCGGCCTCAGTCCGCCGTCTCATTTCCCGGATGGAGATCGAGCGCGGCACGCCGTCGGATGAGGCGTTGCCATTTGTTGCTGTACCACGCAGCTCCGTCACGGGTCGGTCAGGCGTGATATGCCGCATTTGATGCGGCATCGCGACTGTTTGGGCTCCCGCGATTGGCCGACCCAGTCAAAATGGGCGAGTGGAATCAAAGCTGATGTCATCGCTGCCCATCACTAATTGTGTCCGTTTGTCAACGCCAGGGGGCTCACCAATTGGTGCCAGTCTATCAAATCAAATCAAATCACGTTTGAAAGGATTGACTATGGACCATGACCAACACAACATAGTTTTTAAAAGATGGCTGCAGAGCTAATAGCTTGTTATGAACTGAAACTCTTGTTACAAATACAAGGTGTCAAATTGTTATGTTTCCGGCTTCAGCCGGTTACCCCACAAGCGACGCTTTTACACCTGGATGCAGATTCCACATGTACGTATGCTCTCTTAATAAGTGATTTTTAAGATATTGTCTGACCCAAGCTCAGAATGTTTTCCTTTTTGTTTTTGTCGTTGAGACCATGATAGACAATTCATACAAATAGGGAGAAAACGCCAGCAGCATCACTATTACTTAAGCGTAACTCAGCATGAATCCAATTAAAAGTACACTTTTCCTAAAAGCTCATAGCCGGAACCACACATAAGACCTAGACGTCTTTCAGGAATAATAGGGTACGGCAGGCTTGCACGACTGTAGGTTTAAACGTAGTTACAACTCCTCGGCTTCCATGCTATACATTTACCTTAGCTTCTAAAATGTAATCAGCTCAGAAAACAAGTGACATTTGTGGTAGAACTTTTGATGCAAGTTTTCACATGGAATTTTTGTCGCGGGCAATATACAAGGCATCACTATAACTTTTTGCAGTGCCTCATTTCCAAGGCAAAGGAGATGTTGCCAAACAATTTTAAAATGCTGTTTTACACTACGTCATATTCCTGCAACCAGCTCTGTCTGGAAGGCTGCGAATGCGTGACACCAGGGGCGCAGCCAATTTGGGGGGGGGGGACGGCCTCCAGCCCTTAGGCTCATATTTTTTGTTGTTTAAAGGAAGAGTTCCACACTTTTATGAACTTTTGTATTGAAATAATCACATTGAAGGTCATTCGGTGTGGTTCACGGCACTGTTCTTTAAGGAGTGTTCCACATTCGTAGAGAGTTTTGAACTGCAATAGCCATCTTGAAGATCATTCGGTGCAGTTCACATCCCTTTCCTTTTCACAACATAAATCCTCCACTTTTTCAGCTACACGCCCGCGAACATGTACAAATTATTTCCGGGAGACTGTTTCGAAGGTTGCCCAGGCATCCTTAACACCATGACAAGGTTATTCAAATCCTACCATCCCATTAGCCGTGCGGCGATAAAGGTAAAAAAAATGTTATTGTTGAGTCCTTTATATCTGGCGTTTGTGCGCACGATTTCCAGATACTACGGCCGCCAGTTGGCTCTCAATCAATGTTTGCAAGGTACGATGACATAATCAAACAAACAAGGAGCATATTTGCTAAACAGAGAAATTGCGTTTTACAGAGCGGTCTTTTCTTCTCAAAAGTACACAAAGGTTTTAAACGATGCTATTTCATCATGCATTTATCATATATATATATATATATATATATATATATATATATATATATATATATATATATATATATGGTTCCTTCAATATCTTCAAATGTAGAGCATTCCTTTTAAGACTTAAAACCCTCTAGTTTCCTGAGCTACACAGCCGGAAAGATGTGCAAACTATTTCACGCAGACTACTTCAGGGTCGCCCAGGTGTACATCACCTACATGCATGCACGGCTGAGCTAGCCGTCGGATCTATCAGTTCTGGGGTCAAGCCCCATCCCACGAGGTTCATGAGGCTGCGCGTCATTCACCTAATGCTGCTGCTTGGTGAGCACTCAACGAGCAGGACATGATCGGCTCCCTCGTCTTCGAGGAACCGCTGAGCGAGACCCCACCTGTCAACCCGGCGCGCTACATCTCCGTACCGAATTTGTTTCTGGGTGACCCTGAAACGGGTCATCACTGACATAGCTGATAATATAGTGCGCAGAGCGCGCACGTGCTGCACCGTGCGCCGTGCGCCGGCACTGGGCTCAGCCAGACGGGGTCACCGGTCACACGGCTCTCGTGTACCGGCACTGGGCTCAGCCAGACGGGGTCACCGGTCACACGGCTCTCGTGCACCGGCACTGGGCTCAGTCAGACGGGGTCACCGGTCACACGGCTTTCGTGTACCGGCACTGGGTCCAGCAAGACGGGGTCACCGGTCACACGGCTCTCGTGTACCGGCACTGGGCTCAGCCAGACGCGGTCACCCGTCACACGGCTCTCGTGTACCGGCACTGGGTCCAGCAAGACGGGGTCACCGGTCACACGGCTCTCGTGTACCGGCACTGGGCTCAGCCAGACGAGGTCACCCGTCACACGGCTCTCGTGTACCGGCACTGGGTCCAGCAAGACGGGGTCACCGGTCACACGGCTCTGTGTACCGGCACTGGGCTCAGCCAGACGAGGTCACCCGTCACACGGCTCTCGTGTACCGGCACTGGGTCCAGCAAGACGGGGTCACCGGTCGCGCGGCTCGCAACTTACTGCAGTGGCCAAGAGACAGCATCTGGACGTCCGCTTTATCTCCAGGATACCATCAGGCGGCCGGTGCACCCACTGGCCCGAACATCCCAGATTCCTTGTCATGGGGTATCTCAAAGCACACGATACGGATTAAGACCAAAGGGTCTGTGGGAGCTCACGGATAAAAATCAGGTAGGCTGTTGGGCGAGGTCAAGGGGATGTGTCGGTAGACGTGAGGCTTGTGCGTGAGGCTATCCACAGAGCCGACGTGTGCTTTAAGCGAAAAGGAAGCACATTGAGCACGTGTTCTAGATAGATCATTGCTCTTTTACTTTTTTCCCTTGCAAAATAACGCAGCTTATATCTAATATTTTTGCATAACACGCTGATTCCATTGCTTTACTTCAAACGCGTGGATGCTATCGGCATTTAAAATGTGGTACATACATTTGAAACATCCGATGCCTTACAGACAGCTCATCATGATAACACAATGATGTAGCCTCCGCATTGTTTTATGTGTCCCCTCTGAATATTCCCATACTTTGCATTCGTAACAAATATTCATCACTTCCCGACCCAAAAGCAGCACCTGACGTTTCATTCGACGTTAAACTCCGGCCGCTGTCGCGTACAGCGTTTACCAACCTACGCCCGTCTTAGTGGGGTGTCGCAACGAAAATGATTTGTTAGCGCGTTACGTAAACAGATAATACATCTCCAATTGTTCCCTCATTGTTTGCGAGAGGCTTGTGCCTCACGAGGCAACAATTCGCTGCAATTGTCTTGGCTTTAGCATGGGGTCTATGGCATCGGGGAGCAGGCAGTAGTAGTACTTTCGGCGGTCGTGTGTGTTTTAGTCGATGGCTAATGGCTGACGGAAAAGCGCAGAAATACTTATGTTCTAGGGTTAAGTACCTCATGAGGCTGAACAACTGCTGGCAAACTCTAGATATCCTACTTTTTCTGGGAAAACAAGCTCATAATGGTGTTGGCAAGCACAGACTCCAGCCATCCCCGGACAATGGGAGATTTCATTCAAAACCCCCAAACTTCTTTAACAAAGACATATCATACTAGAGTTTTGAGGTTCCAAGGTCATGGATTGTAATCCTTGCATGAAGGTAATGTCAGTAAATGACGGCTCGTCTTCTTTCAGAACATACGTCCTTTAACTTTTTTTATTTCTTCGTTCATTAAAGTGGGCGTGCTGTATTTGGGGCATATTTGAAAATCATACCTTGGTGACACCTCAGAAACCAGCTATGTATAATGATAGTTCCGGCAAGTGCTACTGTAGTACCAACCAGATATACTAGATTTTAGGATTAGACAGTAAGGTGCTTAAATTCGCTGACATTAAATTGATAGGGGCGTCAAAAAATGCAGACCAGGTGGAACTAGGCTAAGAGATACTTGTGAAATGGGATTCTCTGTGACAGATGCCATTTTATCTTAATAATGGTAAAGTGGTGCATATAAGTAGTTCTGAGAGCGAATACATTAGTTATACAATGGCAGACTGAGAATTAGACCAGATCGAGGAAGAAAAGGACTTGGGGGGGGGGGGGGGGGGGGGGTTATAATTTTAATGGATTTAAAGGTCGAAAAGCAAGGTAGAACTGCTAGGAGCAAGGCACTTTAGATTCTGGGAATTAGAAAGAGCAATGTCCATTACAGGAGTAGGAATGTTGTCAAAAGTTGTATTTGGTTTATGTCGGACCGCACGTAGAGTATTGTGTACAGGCTTAGTCCCTATGCTTTCAAAAAACTATAGATAGTCTGGAGAGAGTACAGTAAAAAGTGACTACGATGAATGATGGGATTGGCAACTTTGAATACAAGGATAGGCTTAATTCATTGCATTTGTATTCACGGAAATATCGTAGACTTAGAGGGGGTCTGATAACGCTATCCAAATTTTGAAGGGGGGTAGACAAGGTAGATCTTCAAGAAACGCTGGCAATTAGGCCGAAACGAAACTGCATAAAGATTACATAGTTTAAAACTCAGCTCTGGCTGGTTCATCCGAGATCAAGCTGGAGCAAATGTCTTGGGTAAAACGTATAAGGAATGCTGTTGATTTTGCGACCAAATAGAGCAGGCCACACCTTACATCAACAGATATTGAGGCAATTTGACAACTGGGTCGGGCTCTCTTTCAGTTATTTTTCTCCAGTGATTGCATCAAGCTCGTTCTGGAAAATTACAATAAAATCTGAAAGAAACTAGGCTTGGACGCCATCATGTCCTGATTTCACATGCCACTAGTAGCATTCTTCGATGAGCAATCACAGATCACAGGTGCAGCGTGTCCGTGGTCATGTATTACCGTTTTACCGACCGCCGTAGCACCGACGACTTCACTACATAACGTGCCGATAATACGGCCTCTAAGTTTGGGCTCGGGGTGCCATTATGTGAGGCAGGGAAATTCACTTGCTGAGTATTAAATGCTATATATTCACTTGTTCACTTGCTACCTTCATGAAATGATGCGATAGATGTTGTTCTAACATGGATAGCTGATATTTCGCCGCTTGTTTCCATGCCATGTTAAGTTTAAAAGGGTAGGTGAAGTGCCTAGTAAAATTTCCTCGTGGACCGAAAACACAACTGAAAAACAATCTTCCCGATACAGGAAAGCGGTCACAAACAAATTCTCACGCGCACCTTCATCGCCCTCCACGTTCCGCTCTCAAGTGCAGTTTCGTTTGCAGTCGTATGTGTATAAGAGGGAGGTGAGGGGGGGGGGCAGACCCCAGAAGGAGGTGGACGCGGAGAAACCCGTTTTAATTTATTATCGCCGTAGGTTCACCATTTTCCCAGCCCAGCCTACCCGCCTCCACCTTGTTTGCAAAACTACGCCCCTGTTCCCTGTAAACTGTACCCTGGAATACGTCTGGCCCCTCGTGTAAACACTGTTTTTTGCGGGTTTTTTTGCTGCTTGCTGAGATTGGCTCCGGAGAAACATTACCAGCCGATAATGCCGACAGCAGGTCCGTTTGGAAACAATGCCAGCCGCTAATGCATTCCCGGTATGTCTACCATGCCACCGGTGGAACGGAGAGGTGCTTGGGTTGCGACGCCGAGTGAGACACAGTTCAGACGTGAGCCAGACGGGTTCCGTGCCGAGAAGGTCATCGCTGTTTCACCCAACTGAGCTGCTCCCGGAGCCCGCCGTTAATGTATTCGGCGGTCTTGAATCGCGTGTCGTATTATCTATGCGCGCCTCAATACGAATTGATGCACCTTACTGGCAAGTGTGCGTGTTAGATATGCCTAGATTTTTTACACAAGCCGACGTGCTTTTAGATAGAATAACACTAGTGGTTCACATGCCTCACATAAACTACTGTCAACCACGCTCTTACTCACCGGCCCCTTTTCATACGCTTAATGGCCGCAATATTCTAGAAGTTATGAAGCTAATGCGACGTGATACATAAATAAAAGCCATGTTGCATGGCCATCCAAAGAAGAACAGCCCACAGGGTTATGAAATACAAAGTAAAGGAACAACATTTATGCCTACGCAAGCAGTTGAGCTTGTATGTATCACACACAGAGCTGGCTGCGTCCGTATGCTCGACTCAGAGTGTTTTCCGTCTTTTTGCGACATCGATAACTGACGGCGTGTCGACGGAGCGACATGGTAACCCAGCAGGCGCATCCGGGAGTGCCGCTCGCCCTGTCAGGGCCAAACAGAGGGCGGCCGGCTGGCCGGCCGTGCCGTGCTCTCGGCTGGCGCCTAGCGGCCGCCCCATCGCTGCCCGGCGCACGCGGCGCCGGCCGGACCGGCCGCGGCGCCGGGCGGCGGCGCCCCCACGGCCGCCGAGAATGCCGCCGCTGTCGCCTTGGGGGTGAACTTCGACGATCTGTGTGGATTTCAGCAGGGCTGAATACTGACGGCGTGGCCCAGTGTTGCCAGAGCATTTCACCACTGCCCTCGGACAGCTGTGAACCGGTGCACTGAAAGAGCGGGCCGTAGGGTCCCGTTTGACTGTTGGTTACACGCTCCCCACCCCCTCCCCGTTTGGCTGTTAGTTACACACCCTCCTCTCCCTGTTTCAGTCGATGGCGTGGCGCGAGCGGCACGGCGTGAATCGTATCCTAGACGAGTGGGAGCCGCCGGCGGCGCTCCTCGAGTTCTTCCCGCGCGGTTACGATGGGAAGTCCAAGGCCGGCCTGCCACGTGAGCTGACTGCGCTCACCTCTTAATGGAACCGTTGCCGGAGAGGGTCGTGTTGCTATGTGCCGTCTAACACACTTCAGTATATTTTTTGCGATGATATATGCGACGCATGCGTGCAGAACTGAGATATTCAACGCTCGTTTTAAAACTTGCTGAGGTTAAATTTTGTAGCACTCACTTTTACACACACACACACGCACGCACGCACGCGCGCGCGCGCGCGCACGCACGCACGCGCACACACGCGCACACACACACACACACACACACACACACACACACACACACACACACACACACACACACACACACACACACACACACCACACACACACACACACACACACACACACACAATCGACGTAATAGCCTTGCCATAAAGTACCGACGAATCTGACAGAACGATGTTTCCGAAGCTTACTGTGAATTCGCAAAATTAGGGAAGGCCAAAGCGAGAGCAGTGTGAAACCTCCACTGAAGTGTCCCTGCCACAATGGCCGCTCGATAGATGCCCGGCGACCACTGAGCCCATTGGTAAGTTTGTGGTGGTGCGTTTGGTTTTCTTTAGACACGCTACCTCCCCTTGACAGACTGCCGGGACATGGAGGCCACAGCCACTATCAAAACCCACTGAATTCCCGGGGCGTTGATCAGCCAGATGATTCTTGCCCGCCGTGTTGATCAGCCAAACGATTCTCTGCCCACAGTGTTGATCAGCCAAATGAATCTCTGCCCACAGTGTTGATCTGTCCGTTGGCGTGTTGCTCGTGCGCCAGGCCCAGCTAGCTGGGCCGCCTGCCTCTGTTCTGTGCGTGTGTTAACCGCGGCGCTCATGAGCTAACTGATCCCGGCGGCGTGTTGCCTGCACTGTTAATCGGCTTACCCGGACCGGTAGTGCGTCGCCCGCAATCCTCGCACCTGCACGTTACAGCCTACTGAGGGTATGACTGCGATCTGTGATGCGCTGCGGTCGCTTCCCATCAGTCCGATGCTGCGTTTACCGTAGAGTTTATCAGCTGACTGAGCTCAGCTAGTGTTGCCGGCACCGTTTGTCGATCCAGCAATGCGCTGCTGGCGGCGTGAACCGCCTGAGCAATCTCTCATATGCGTTGTCGGCACTCGTACTGCTTATTCGTCTGCTGGGGCTAACGGTGTGTTGTCTGCGTTTGTTTCGGCTGGCTGAGGCCGACTGCGTGTTGCCCCAGTGTTTATCGATTGACTGAGGCGGGCTGTTTGCTGCTCTCAGTGTTTATCGACTGAGGCCGGCCGCGTGTTGCCCTCAGTGTTTATCGGCTGCTTGGGACAGTTCGACATCCGGGGCCTGATCCGTTCGTGTAGGAAGACGGACTTCATTAAGTTTGCGTAAGTCAGCGCTTAGACGACAACTAACATCGCTCATTCTTTTGTCGAGGATGAAAAGACTCACACAGCTTGGGAACGCCATTTTGGATCCACTTGCACTTTCAGTTGCTCATTGCACTGGTTTCAACTCTCTCCCTACAATGGGCTCTCGCCCCAACGGTTTTCTCCGAAACATATTTGGAATGGAGAATATTTTACATATTTTACGCACGCAAAAACTTGAAGCTTATGAGCTTAATCGTTTATAGCTTATGTCCTCTTTTATAAACAGATCGGTCACATTTTGCTCAAAAAGGACAAGTAACGCATAGTTCTCTAAGGAAATATTATCAAGACTTCTACAGACCGACGTGTTTGATTTTGTTTCACTGTGGTGCACTCCTGTCGTTCAGGCTGCTTTTGCAAATTGCAAGACCCAGTTACGTTAAACCTGACCTTTGACTTTTGATTCAAAGGCTTCAGATTCAATCGTTATAAAGACATGCAGTTCAAACCTTTACATAGCAAACCTTTATCTTACAGCTTTGAAAGGGCTTTCTAACGCCATCTTCCTCAGCATGTGGCTTGTTTAGTTATTTAATGCACGGACGCACCTACACAACACTAGCGTTTACCCCACTGACCTGCCATAGCATCACGGGTCAAACAATACAACCTTCACCCCACCGACCTGGCATAACGCCACAGGTCAAACAACACAAACCTAGCTTTCACCTCTCTGATCTGGCATAACGTCACAGGTCATACCTGTTGATGGCCTATAGCGCCCATCGGGCAACTTATTTTTCAATAGCTATCCAACGCCGTATTACACATTGTGGTAGGATGGTAAGTACTTGAGATAACAGGAGTGATCGAAGAGGGCTAATTTGATCCCCATGACCAGATTCAAACAGCCAAATGTCACGTTCACAGGTGCTCATTTACACGCACCGGATGCAGTTTGATGGCAGCTATGCAATTCCGGTTTTCTTGAGGTTCTGGCTTTTTTAGTTTCTGGTCTGCTCTGGGACACCTTCGTGAAGTTAACAAAACAACAGTAGTGAAGTTAGCAGAAAACGTCCACAGGGCAAGGTTTTCACTATTGTTATCCCGTTGCGTTAAGGTAACATTCCAATTGAGCGGCACAATATGTGAGGCGACCTTCTCATCACATGTCAACGGTAATGCCGGCTTCAGTGCGCCAGCCAGTCAGGCGCTTGTAACGTAAACAGCCGTCGACTGCGGCCTCTGCGATGAGAGGGCGCTTCTCTCCGCCGCTGGACTGTGACGTCACTGGGTCTACCGCAGGCTCTACTGCTTCGAGACGGGCGGCCGGCACGTGCTGAACATCTCCCGGGAGACGGGCGTGCCCGTCAATCAGTTCCTGCTGCTGTTCGACCTGGAGGGTCTGAGCGTGGCTCAGGTGGCGTACAAAGAAGGTGGGCGGCGCGGCGCGACAGCACACAGACGAGTCGCGAAATGTTGTTTGGCGACGCTTGTAATTGCGATAGCCACATGCGTCGTGATCTCTCCTGCTGATTCGGAGCAGGACGGCGATACAACAGCACGGTTGACGGGCTCTTTCTCGGTTAGCCACTTTCTCAGCGGTGATGTATCTGCGGTGATTATGAAGCACCACACAATGACGTGTATTCTACAATCGTGGCGGCGTTTTGTGACAAACATCGCTAAGCCGTTCACTAGCGATTTAGTTATCGTGAATGCGCAGAACGGAGAACAAATCAGCCACAGCACGGAATCGGGGTGCAGTTGGTGCATGGCCGCAGGAGAATAGTCCGTAACTTACACCGTTCATTGTTACGACCTCCACGAACAGGGTGTAGCGGTTAAGTATTCTGTGTTATCGCTCAGACAGTGTAGTCACACTTTGTAACCAGCTTGCGAATGGATTTCGTCATTATCCCAACACACGGGGTTTCACCTCGCTACTCACCACAGCATATTCATGTGGGGTTAGTGGCCCATGGTACTGATTACAACCTGTTTAGCACGTTTGCCGTAATACGGTCTCCGTTCACAGGTTTTGAATTATTCCTCGAAATGACGAGGATCATGGAAGCAAACTATCCCGAAGGCTTGGGAGTTTGCATGGTGATAAATGGTAAGCATGGTGCCAAATGAGTGGGCATCCAGAGCTTAGATATAGATCGCAAAATCGCAGGCGTAGGGAGTCGTGAGCTTCATAACCAATTGATGGTAACAAGCTCGTATATAACGGGGATAAATTGTTTTACGAGGTCACTGGAAGTCACAAGTGGTATGTGAATGCCTGTCACCTAACGTCGAAAAGCCCCCAATTCCGAAACAAGGAGGGAGGCTCGCTTGCTCCCTCAAAGGAGCAAGCGTGCCGAGCATTGTGGCACGTTAAGCTTTCACCGCCGAATTCTGCCGTGGACATGTGGAATTGCGCGATCGGGTGGTAGGGGTCAGGGCCCACACAACAAGCACTGCTTAGCGTGAGCTCTGACCCCAGAAATCCATCCATTCAACGGGTCCGGAGAAAATCTTTAAAAGGGTGGAACGTTTTTCCCAAGTATGTAGGAGCAGTCATCGGCTGGCATGAATTCGGTGTCCAAGGCTTTGGCAGTGAGCCTCGCTGTTTTGCCCTGTCCATCGACGTTATGCCAGTGTGCTCGGCCGTGCACGTCCTATTATGGGTCTGGCAGACGATTTCATTTGTCAGAGCACAGTCAGGACTGAATTTCAGAGCATATACCCAATGATCCTGCGACTTCTGCCGCGCCACCATCGCCCGCGCTCCATCCCCGTGACCTCTATGATGTCGGCATAGTTCACTCTCTGACCGTGTTACCTCCTTTGCGCCGCCCGCGCTCAGTTCCAACCCTGTGACCTCTATGGCATCAGTGCTGTTCACTCCCTGAGCCTCCGACCCCGTGCTCTCTGTAGCACCGCCTGCACTCACTTTCCAACCCTGTGAGCTCTATGGCAGCAGAGTAGCTCCCCCCCCCCCCCTCCCTGACCGTGTGACATCTGTAGCGCCGCCAGTGTTCACACAGGCCTGGTCGATACTGTTTTCATCTGCAGCGCCGCCAGTGTGCACACTGGCCTGGTCGATACTTGTTTTCATCTGCAGCGCCGCCAGTGTTCGCACAGGCCTGGTGGATACTGTTTTCATCTGCAGCGCCGCCAGTGTTCACACTGGCCCGGTCAATACTGTTTTCATCTGCAGCACCGCCAGTGTTCACACTGGCCTGGTCGATGATCCGGCCGCTGCTACGTGGCACCACGCAGAGCAAGATACAGATATTCGGACATACTGGCTGGCAGCAGCGGCTGCTGGAGCTGGTGGAGCCAGACCAGCTGCCAAAGCACTGGGGCGGCTCACTGATCGGACCCGATGGGAACCCGCACAACCGGCCGACGGTGAGGCAACGCTGGTCAAGGCCATCGCACAACGATTTATTGGATGAGATGCATGCAAAAGCAGCAATTTCGGCGAGCGCCCGCCCATGCCCGCTGAGTGTGACTTATCAGCACGCCAAAAAAGACCTACTCAGTTCCACGCCTAGCATCTTCGTTTGCACAATCCATGCTTAGAGGCCAAGTGTCATGAGGTTCATGTAAAATCTGGTGCAATGTTTGTGACGATTTGTCTGAGCACGTCCGGCCCTGTTTTCTGAGAATAATACCTCCAACAGGTGTGCATAGGCGGCGAGGTGCCGTCGAGCTTCTTCCAGGACCCTCACGAAATGGAAAAACTGGCAGCCCATGGCCGCAAACTGCATGTGCGCAGAGCCGGCAAGAAAGAGTACAGAATCGATGTCGCCAAGCCCAAGACGCAGATCAGGTACCCATGGTGAATGCTTGTCTTCTTAAACAAGAAACGGTGCCAGAAAATCAGTTTTAGGTCAAATGTGGCGAAATTGGCGGCATAATGTCAAGACACATTCGGTTTTCGTCTTTTTCCCGGCATTTCCACTTAACGCTGCAATAACTTCGAAAAGTTGTGGGCCTGAGCGTGATCGTTGTGAGAGGTAAGTACGCCATCAGTCAAAGACAAGCCGCTAAAGGGCCCGTGTGGGAGCTATTTGGGACACAGCGGGATTATAAAGTTGCGTTTTGACACGATTTGCCGTTCAAAGCAAGAAAATATAAATTGGAATATTTCATGGGAGCCACAATCTCTTCCAACAACACCCAGCGTATTGCGCATGCCCTCATAAGGAGGCATTTCTGCTCACGCGCAACCTCGCTTTGGCTATCCTCTGCCTTTACATAAGGCCGCCAACAGCATCTGTACGATTACTTACGCGGATTGAGACAAGGGTGACAAGCTTCGTGGCTCGTGCCATCTGCGGTCGATAATATTTTGAACATTGCAGATGTGCGGTTTAGAAAGCAGAAGAATGCATTCGCCATGCCGAACGTGCAGAACATTGGCTTTCGCAGTCAGCAGTGGCGCGCATTGAATGGTAGGCTTCACCTTTAAGTGCAACCAGTGTGGAATGAAGTGGAAGTAAGCGAGTCCATTGACATCATTGCTGCGAAAATTTTGGTCAGTAAGCGTCTAAAATAAACAAACAAAACAGCGAAAAATATTTGAGTCCACTTCGCGATACTGCACGCTATTTTATTACGTATGGTGCTGTTGAACCTCACTAGCCCGTCATCTTCCGTGGATTTAGTATTCAGAACAGTGGCTGCTTCCGCAATATCTTTCAACCCATGTCGCGAAAGCCTGTTGCAAAACTCTTGTGATATAGTTATTGTAGTGCCTGGCTACCCCGTTGCTTTTCGTTACTCTTTGTCTGCGCCAGCCTGCTGCCACTGCCGGTCGGAATGGTGTGATATTCCGCCCATGTTGGGTGATCCGATCGTAGGTTGGAAGAACCAGGTGGATGACAGTTGCATAGATTAAAGATGGAAAATATTTAGTTTACTGAAAAGGTTTTGTCTCATATCCTACAAGGATGCGATGGCACATTCTTCTAATTCACTCAGTAACTTCCGTGTCAACATGATACGTCTGTTTAAGCTATATTTCGAAGTTTTAAAAAAATCATCAAGGCATGGGCCGTGTGAGAGACAAGCGTGGTAGCCGCACATCCATTCTGGCAGCGTTTCAGTCCGAAGCGCGAGGCCCGGATACAGCACAAAAGTGCCAGTGTTCGTTTTTCGGGATTTGCTCACGCTGCAAAGTCGCTTTTCGGAGCAATACTTTTGCCGTTCGTTCCATAAAACATAACGTCATAAACCATTGCGAACAAAAAGTTTTGCTTTGCTGCATCTGTTTAGGATTATCCCATTCCCAAAGCTCCTATTATTTTCGGCCAGTGTCTCACCGCTAATTTTCCAGGAATATGATCACTGTCAGCAAGCATTGCTGCGCTCTTCTCTGCGAGCGGCAATATAGAACTAGACTCACTCACTGACAGCGCAACAAAGTGTTCAGCTATACACTTTTTGCTGCTGCTTAGCCGAAATGCCGTCCAAGGCAATTCCCGCTCGCTCTGTCTCCGCGCGACGTAATTCCCGCTTGGCAGCGTGTTTTTATCGACCGTGGAATCGCTCTACTGCGCAGCTGCACGCCCGCTATCTTACGAGTACCGCGGTAAATTTCTCATCAAACGTATGGTGAACTCCGGTGGTCGAGTGGAAAGATAGCGATATCATTCGTCCTTCAACCACGAAAGTTCACGCGGTGTAATGGCGCAGGAGTGCGCCGGGGGGGGGGGGGGGGGGATGGGGAAAAGGTGCTTCTCCTCTCATTTGCATCAATGTTTGAATTTGATATGAACTGTCCTGCTGGGTTTATTAATTCTATACATAAATGAGTTTTACAGGCGGTTAAGCGGCTGAAGGCGGTTGAAACATTTCACAACATTCACAAGCATGCCAAATAGTTTTACTTTACCATGCCAAAGTTTGTCTCAAGCATACTAATTCCTCTTTCCTGTATTCATGGGTTTCTATGGACCTGTATTGTGGAAGTCGCGTCATGGTTGAAGTTCGCACATGCGAAATTCAAGGGGGGACGCGGGCGGGGGGCAATCCCCTTACTCTCTGCTCAACACCTCTGTTAAACTGCGCGTATGAGCACCTTTAAGAGATTACTTTAACTAACTTAACAACATTCTCGACTGAACTATTTTTTCCTTTACTAACTTTAACTTTTACGTGAGACGGTAATGATAGTCTCTTTCTTCGAAGAAACACAGAAGACTGGAGAGTTAGATGCGTCAATATTTCGGTGATGTGCTTTTATTGAAACGAATATCAGTAGTGATATTCGTTTCGATAAAGATTCGATATCGTCATTGCTGATATTGGTTTTGATGAAGGCATGTTGCCGAAATATCAACGAACCTATCTCTCCAGTCTCCTGCTTTTTCTACGAGCAATAAGGCTATTACTGCTGTCCCACCTATATTCATAATATTCCTCTCATATGCACTTAACACCTTACTTAACTTTAGCTCAACAAACTTAATTTTAAATTTACTAGCTTTGACTGGACCTTTTCAGCTCAGCAGTTTAGTTTAGCAATCTAGTAGTTATCAGTCCAGTTTGGAGTCCAGTTTTGGTGACGGTGCCAGTAGTAAAGCTTCTGCGGCGTCCAGACCGTTGGAGCAAAACAGCACCCATGTGGTTTTGATTGATAAGTTTCAGCTGGAAGAGCGCAAGGGGTTACGATTGTGCTCTGTTGACGATTTTGAATAATTTTTATAATCCATCTAGCATTCTAATATAATAGTGGCGTTGGAATCATTCGCTGCGAGAGCCGAGCGGGTGTCAAGCGCGCATCGTTCTGAGCTCCCGATGCTAGGTATCTGCGAACACATCGAAAGAAAGACATGTAAACAACACGGGTGCGCCGCGTCGTGACAAACCGACCTGCATATACACGAGAGTACTGCTGTACAACTGTCCGCCTTCCGCAGCTGGCGATTCTGCACGAAAGGCTACGACATCCTGTTCGGGGTGTACCGTGAATCTAACGCAGGGAATGACGAGCTGGTGATCAAGGAGCGAGTCTACAGCCATCTGGTGGTGGAGTCTGGCAAACTCGTCTGCTCGGATCCTGGAGTCTGTAAGTTGGGTGCTTCTTTTGAGTGGCGCGGTGATCAAATATTTTCTGCCAATTAATAGTGGATAAAGTGCGGCGATGCAGTTCAACCCTCGATCTATTAGTAGGCAACCGTGCTCAACTTTCATCTTTCTAAGATGACCTGGTGAAATGTGCTCGAAAGACTCTTTTGTATTTATCAGGTCACATTTGTGCTGCTGTCTTTGTGACATTCGGTGACTGACCGGGACATTTTGTGACATTTTGTCATGCGTGGTGCTGCCTCCATGATGTTTCGGGTTAGTTAATGTTGCAAATGTTGAGCATCGTAATGATTCTTCCATGCCTGAACTGGTCAACCCAGTTCCATGTGGATATCCTCAAATTATTGTTTTCATAAACTGAATGAATCATTGTCTTTCCAGATATACTTGAGTTCGACAACTCCTACAGTTACTTCCACGGCAAAGAAGTGTATCTAGATGTAGTTGTGGTCTGAGCGTTCGCAAACCCCCTGCACAGCATCGGCTCAACGCAGATCACCTGGCCGTCTGCTCAGCAGCCAGACCTGGCGCCTGTACTCACACTCGGGCTCAGCGCAGAACACCTGACCGCCTGCTCAGCGACCAGACCTGGCGCCTGTACCCACACTCGGGCTCTGCACATATCACCTGACCGCCTGCTCAGCGACCAGACCTGGCGCCTGTGCTCACACTCGGGCTCTGCACATATCACCTGGCCGGCTGCTCAGCGACCAGACCTGGCGCCTGTGCTCACACTCGGGCCCGCCAGCATACATGTGTACGCTCAGCCAGGCGGGGCAACCAAACGCCCTTTAGCCCGCCAGGGGCGTGCGTCACTTAGCGTCACAAAGGGCCGCACGTGCAATCCCTGACAAGGCGGCCCAGTGGAACCCTCTGTCTTCATCGAGGTCGAAGAATGCGTGGGTATGGGAGAAGTAGCATAGATGCAGATAGATCCTTCCACATGTGCAGTCCGCGGCAGCGACGGATGGAGTGCGTTCAGCGCCGCGCCCGGACGTGGCAGGTGATGCTTCGTCCCAGATGGCGCTGACCTGCTGAGTTGTGGGCAGGTGGCGCAGCGGGCGGCCAGGTGGCGCGGTGAGCGGCCGGGTGGTGCGGTGAGCGGCCGGGTGGCCCGGTGAGCAGTCAGGTGGCGCAGTGAGCGTTCGGATGGCGTGACTCGCGCCGTCGCCAGCGCGCGCCAGCCTCCCGACCAGACTCGCGGCCAGTGTTGAAAGGACTAATGGCGCGGCTGCCAGCTGATAAGCGGCAGCGGCTCTGGCCAGTTATATGCGTGCACGTACGTTTGTACTGTTCAAGATGAAGCGCGTCAAAATGCGACTTAATCAGACATTGTAAGTCCGACATCTGAGAAGAGCTTTTCAAACCGGGCTTTAGCCATAAAGGTGTGTTGTGTAATTGTCGCACGACGTATATCGCTCACGAAGAAAAAATATTTTACTACGTATGTACTTTTGTCCAAATTGGAAATCGGTATGATGACAATATAGTATAAACAATGTAACGCACCGAGCGGGTTTAGAACGGCTGCATGCGAGTCCTTATAACGAGGTTGAATGTACGATTGACTACGACCCATCGTGATGCAGCAGACTGAAGTGCAGACAAGAGGAGGATGTCGTGTTGACAAGCCATGGGTCGATTCACTTGAAAGGAACGAAGCGCTTGCTAAGCGCGAGAAGTCTGCGGGGCTTGAACGGTGCATGTCATCCACGCCTGTTCCTGATGATGTGGACGGTGATGATGCTTGGTGCGCACTGAAAATTGATTGAGTACGTTATCTGCTGTTCCTCAAGCTGTCAATGGAAAGAGAAAGCCAGAAAGACAGTCGTGGATCGTGCGCTTCCGCTTTTCGTCCGGTTTTCTCAAAGTTAAATTTGCAGCACTTATCCCTATCACTGCCTCGCTCATTCTGTGACATACGCGGCGTCTTATTGGGGAAGTACTGCATCAAGAGCGGGCGAAGCCACCTCGGTTCGTAGACTGTCGGGCCCTCTGCCCTATGTGAGGCAGACGTGTGAGTGTGTCCCGTGTGAGATCATGTCCCGGCATTCGCCAACGTCCCTCACCTTTGGCGGTCAAGGAAATATCATGAGGCGGCGACCGGGGCCGTACTGCTACGGCACTGCATTGCACCCTAAAGTCTGTGAGCAATAAAACTAGCTAAGTGAGCTTGATCAACTGGCCGATATGAGCAAGGTCTTCGCAGCACACTGGCAGGCGTCCGAGAACCATAATCACAAACGCTATCCCAGATTCAGCCAAACTGGCTGGGAGAACGCACCAGTAATCATCCAAATATACTGGGCCATCGTGACAGGATGCGACAAAAAAGCGACAGCTTTATACCCACCAGTTGGAATGTACTTGTGCAGTGCTCGCTCCCTAAACCAGCAAAAACCGCTTTTATAATAGGTCATTGGCGAAACCACTTTCGTATGATTTCGTCGGTTCTAAGATGAGTCGTAAATAATTGAGGAGTGGAATGTTGTAATATGGTCTGGTATGTCGTAACCTGTTTATATTATCGCGATTTTGTCACCATTTCGCTCGCAAAAGTGTCTGTTTTTGTCACTGATCATGTTCGGTTCGTCAAGCTTTTTCACCCCCAACATTCCACTCCTCAATTATTTACGACTCATCTTAGAACCATCAGACCATCCGAGCTAGACGAGGTTTCAAGCTTATTGGCCTGTCCTCACTAATTTTTACATCGGGAGCACGTAAAGAGTATATATCGAAACGCTAACCAAGCGCCAACTTGTCGTAACGCTTTGCGCTCAAGTTGAGTCGCAAGATATGCCAAGCATAACAGCTTTAATCAGAATAGTTCTTAGCAGGTGATAAAAATATATTACAAACTATGCTATATCAATGCTGACATCACAGATGGGTGGTGACACTGCTTTTCAATGCCTCTCAGATCAGTGTTTTTACAGATTTTTCAGTCAAGATTCTCTTCGCATACTAATCAGTTTAAAATTCTAGATAACTAGGCTTATCACCAGTTGAAGGAATCGTGACTGGCCACAGTATCTTGCGACGAATATGATCATTTTGCGACGAGGCGAGTTAAAGCGTCATGTCATTTGGGACCGATGGGCTCGAATGCTCGTCACGTATTAATGAACTGGATTCCGTGCAAAGCTGTGGGCTGCCGTTCGTTCTTTCATGTCGTGAGAAGCGGACTGGCTTGAAAAGCGTAACCGATCATCGTTTTTTATGGTGCTGTGCGGCTCTTCTAAGAAGCCACCATCGAGGGCTTCCCTGGGAATAGAGTTAAAAAGCCCTGCCGATCTAGGATGCTTGCTGTTTGTGGATATCAAACCCGTAGCTTCAGAGGTCAACGGAGGACATTGGAGCAACACATGCCAAGGACTCATCGGGAGATTTCTGCTGCTGAGAGGAACGTCGGCTTTGAGGTCAGATGCCAGACATTGCTGGTGCAGGCCTCGCGTTGCCCGTCGCACCTCAGACTTTATAAGGGAGTATATATATAAGGGAGTGTATATATATATATATATATATATATATATATATATGTATAGTGTGTGTATATATATATATATATATGTATATGTGTATATATATATATATATATATATATACAGCGAAATTATGCATACGCACGGCTGTCACCCGTTCGTTTGTAGGACGTGCCCTAAAATATTGCTGCAGCTGGTCCACCGCATAGACGTTGGTGAAAAAGTTTTGCTGAACATGATTAGGACAAATATCACACCGACTGACGAACACACTGAAATAAGATTTACGATCTATTACAAAAGCAGAACAACTAGCAGCATTATAACGAAAAACGGACTGGCAACGGACCAAAAGCAACTAAAGCGCACCAATATGGTGTATGAATTTAAATGCCCTTACAGAGACTGCCGGCTCCGCAGTTCTACCTACATTGGTATGAGTATAACATCCCCATCACGACCCATGACTATGCACCTGCAGGAGGGAGAGCCACACCAACATATGCGTAAAACCCACAACCAAAAACCCCCACGCTCTGACCTGACTGAAAACACACGTATTCTAAAATCATTTCAGGACAAACGCCGTCTACAAATTCTTGAAGCCACCCTGATCAGATAAAAAAATGCTTAACTTAAACACATGACTCCAGCATTTCGTTAGAGTGAAACTCAAGGAAATTGTGGTGTCCCAATATTCGGTGTCACCAGAAATGAAGGCTCTGGGGCGTTTTAAAAGATGCGCTTGAACTGGATGCCTTTATAAAATAAATCTTATAACGCCCCGAAATCAATGTCTTGATGCTTCTTCCCCGAATAGCCGTCCAAAGTTTAGCCAGTTAAAATGCACGGGCATTGTGGTGCCAGTTGGAATTTGTTGTCTCTTGGAAACGAAGAGCCGTGGGCCTTTGTGGTGCCACCTGGAATCGGGTACCTCTGGACAAGAAAAGGTCATGATGGTCACGATACCCCGAAATAAAAGTTTTTGGGTCCATCCACCAACCGGAAACATCCAGAGTTTTGTCAGAGTAAAAGGCAATGGAGCTGTGGAGTTTGGTACCTTTAAAAGGTCTGCTTTGATCTATTGCCCATTGGAAACAAAGGTGGTGATGCCTAGAAATATTTCAACTAGAAGGCAAAAAGAGTGAAAGCTTTGGCGTCCTCTCTCCAAAGGGGCCGACCCAAGATTTTATCAGGGTTGGAGACGTAACACTGTAGTGGCCCCGGAATCTGGCGCCTCTTGAGAATAAATGTGTGGAGTCTTTGTGGTGCCATCTGGAATTTAGTATCTGCGGAAAGGAGATCTCCTGGTGTCCTGAAATGACAGTTTTGGTGCCCGGTCAACATGAGATTTTGGTGCCCCTCGAGGCACCAAAAGCTTGTGGAGCCTCAAGGGGAGGGTTATGGCCCCGTCCTCCCCCTCCCCCCTCCCATCTCTGGACCTGTCCCTGAAGACAATTATATCATCGCCTTTGTTCAGGGACTTTAATGACCCAAAGGAAATATTAATACCGGGAGATGAAAAACGGAACCGACTAAGGAAAGAATGAAATATTCTCCACTCAGCTGGTGGTTCCCGTCATAATGCTTCTCAGTTTGGCAAACCCCAAGGCTGCCCCGCGTCCGCTGTCGCTGATCTCCGAGTCGTAATACGCCCAAACTCCACGGAAGTCTTGAGCACGAAACAAAAAGCGTGAGCTTCCAAAAGCATGATTAAAAACTTAATTCCAACAACAGCAAAGATGGAGAGGTTTTGATCAAAGGAAGATCAAACACACAATTTTACAACCCGCCTGTGAGACAGAGGGATGGCAAGGCACAAAATGTGGTGTTGGGGGGGGGGGGGGGGAGGGGGCGTACTCTGCGCGGCTGCCGGGCCGCCGCTGGATGTCTGTGCGTCGTCGGCTGCCGCTGTCACGCCTCCCCACAAAAGCGAATTTGTACTGAGGAGCTCATTGGTCAGCATACGAGCCAGATGATGTTAACGCACGACTCGGCGCGTTGCGACTCCGGTCCACCCGACGTCAACACACGCTCATGTGAGCCACAGAGCTAGGATGAAGCGGGTGACCGGGGCATTCGCAGGATGGTAGGTCCGGTCAGGCATCATGAACCCCGTGCATGGCTGTGCGCCTTGACCATGTTACCCCACCTCCACCGTTTAGCTGACAATGATATATAAAAGGGGTAAAAACGGGACCAGATGCATTGATAATACAACTAAAGTGGCAGTGATCCCATTCAAACGGGCGAATTTCACTGGCAGGGGCCCGCTGTACAACAACCCTGGGAGTCCCCATGGCCTTAACCAATCCACGCGGACTTCATGCATTCGGCGCCCCACCACACTCACTCCAAGCATACACATCCGCTGGCGCCCATGCCACCGTTCATTCTTGGGTCGCACACGGGTGAGAACCCCACCCCCCCCCCCCCCACCCACCCACCACCCTTTTGCTTTATCCAGCGCCTTGATATAGTTGACATTCCTGTGCGAGTCCTCGTTAAGCTAAATTAAATGTATTTATTACATTGCGCAC